TACCATTTTTAAGGACGAGTTTTTATTGGTTGTCTTCCATTGAAGAACTACCTACCAGCGCCTGCCTAGCAAGCGCGTTATTGCGTCCTTTATTTTTCTTGGTGCCCCATGTATATAGCGCAATAATGAACCTAACTAAATGTTATTGTACTTCGGGTCAACCAGATTGCGATTACAATACGCGACAAGTGACATGTAAACCCGGCCAGAATTTCTGTTTTCTGATGCTAAAGCACACTGATAATATTATAAAGGTTCCTCACTTACAAGGCTGCTGGTATGAACACAGCGTATGTACTCTGTCTTTTTCGATATTTTTTTAGATCAATGATTCTCTTATGAAGCCAAACGTTTGTTACAATATTTCCTCAAGTGGTGCATATATGTCATGTCTTTGTAAGGGTGACTTTTGCAATGTCCCTACCATTGAAGTTCATCTTGGACATGACGGTATGTGTTTGATTAACGCGAAGCGTTTATTTTGCATAATGCTATAACATTTTATTGGTTCTTCCTTTTAGTATTAATAAATCCAGATATCCATAACCAAACATTGGAAAGTCCCCCTACCCCAATCGGACCAAATCCCATCGATTCAATTGTCAAAAATCCCACTCTTTTCTACGCCATTTCCTTGCCACTATTTGTTTTACTTCTACTGATTTTTGTCTTTATTTTCCTTTTATGCCGTCGATACAGGAATAACGTCAATACACTAGGCGCCTCTGCTATTGGAGGCAGTGGTAGTAGTTCCAAGCCCAAGTCCTTTCTTTCTTGCCAAAACCTTTTTCCTACGCTTAAAATTTGTTTCACATGCAAACAATCCAAAAAGGATGACAGACAGTTTAATTCAAATGGTGGCGTTATCTGTCGTTTCTGTCCTCTTAACGCCACACCCTGCGCTTTTTGTGGAAAAGGTTTTATGACTGCGATTGACGGGGGTTCATCCATGCCTCAACTAGTTCATCCAATTCTTGGCGGGGGCTGGCTGGCCGAAGGCGAAATTGAAGAGGTTATTGCCATTTTTCTTATTTGATTTTTAACTCTTACTGATCAGTTACATCAGTTAAGACTCATTTACAAGTTACATTTTAATTTTACCTGACTTTCCTATTGATCTGCTTGATATCCAATTTTTTTAAATTTTGTTTTTTTTAAATAGTAAGTGATAATTTAATGTTCATTTTAATGCTACGACTCGTATAAGTAACTTTTGAATTTCACTTTTGCATTCAATCGAGAGTGAGTGCTATGGAGATTTTGTTCCATTTAATTAATGTTTTTTTTCTAAAAAACAAGGCGTGATCGACGAGTTTCTCAACTCATTTTCAAAGGGTCGTATATTTGAAATATCTGATAGTTTTCCAAGATAAACTAGTTTCATTTATCATTAATCATTTTGGGTTAAATTCCTTCAGTTCGAAAATTGTTAAGTCCTAGATTGATCTTTTAAATTTGTAAGTTTCTCGCGTTTCAGAAATGATGGTATTTATTTGTAATTTGTTTGTTGAGCTTCTGTCTAGTGTTTTATTTATTTTAATTGCTAATTTGAACCTCTTTGTGAATTGGATAATAGTAGAAAGTCTATGTATTTCTCCTTTTTAGTCTCAACAACATAGAAGATTGAAGTGTTATATGCTAACACCAATTTCCCATTTTTTAATAAAAGCTGAACTGCATCTTATAGTTTGTCGGGCAGATGCAATTTTTGGCGAAAGTCATGGTAAAGGTAGATAAGCAAACATTTCCTATTATCTCCCTGTTAAATCAATTGAGTCTTTTTGCTTACTATTGTTTTTTACTATCTACTTTTTGAGATTAGTCGTCGAAATTGTGCGTTGGGATTCGCCTTTCGCTTTTTTGAGATCGCAGTATATTAATAGTCCATTTGCCTAATATATAATTCTCCCATTTTGCTTTCAGCTTTCAAAGATTTGTACCAAAGTGAAAAGGTGTTCTCGCGGTCGTTTTGGTGAAGTGTGGTTGGGTCATATGGTTAAAGTTCGCAACGACGACAGTGGTGGCAACACTGAATCGAATCCTCGTGAAGTTGCCATCAAGGTTTTCCCCGAGGCAGAGCGAAAAAGTTGGGAAACCGAGCTGGAATTATATCGATTGCCTCGACTAAAGCATCCCAATATCCTGCATTTTATTGGAATTGACAAGGTAAGTTACTTATTTTATTGAGAACTTATCATTTATAAATCTGCCATGTCGTTCGACTTAGTTTAACCTCTGTTAACCCACTTTTACTATTATTAATTTACGATTTAAAATCAAACTATTCCAAAGAAATGTTTCGACGCTCAGTATTTCTGACCAGTGTGTTTGGTCAATCTGATCACAGGTTGTACACAGATGGTAATCAATATTGTGATCTCTGAGATTCGGTTTTACCCGTTACACATGCCTTAGAAGAGTTGACGTGGAGTTACGGTACCTGTCTCTCGATTGTATTTGCTTTTAACCATCACTTCGCACACAAACGGAGCTATAAATAGGTATCTCTTTTCTTGCATCGCTGCTTTGCCATGCCGCGAACATTGAACAAAATCCTTGGGGGGGGGGGGAGGTGGAGNNNGGTGGAGGGGGGATGAGATGTTTTATTTTATCAGTCTCTTCTCCCCTTTGGCTTTCTCGATGTGTGGGGAAGGGTGCGTTCGTTCAAATGACCAGAGAAGAGAGGAGGAATACGACCGACCGCAGTTCTCTTTGGCAGTAAATCATCATTCCTTCCTTCGTTTGCAACACATTTATGGATGCCGATGGCGGGGTGGACGTTATGTAAGAGAGGGAGGGCGGGGGGGGGGGCAGCCATTCGTGTGTGCACATGTGTGCGTGCATGTTATCCCTGTGACGTTAATCGTGTTCTATATGCGTTGTGAAATGCAATGTGAATGGCCTTGACACAAAGCACAACCAGGTTTTGATTACATCTTATAAAATTTTTATTAAATACTTCACAGCTCTTCCAGCTAGTAGGGGACTTTGAGCGAGTGAAATTACTTCAACCTGGACGACCTAACAAACGATATCGCCAATCACACAGGTGGAACTTAGATAAATAGAAAACAGTGCTTAGAATTCGAGTTTCCCCAAGGCGCTACTATTCTACCTAGTCTAAGTGGGCTTGTGGGCTATTTGTTTAATGCTTTACTATATTACCTCCTTTCACTTCGTCTTTTCAACTGTGTACTTTTATCGAGCGTGGCTGGCTTTTACTTTCCCATGGTCTTGATTGAGGCTTATCACAAGGACAGATTTCGATTAATTTAAGAATGTGAACACATCATGTGTGTTCCTGTAGTCGGACAGACATTGGCATAAATATGATACTCATTTTCTTAATAGGTGCACTCTAGTTGGCTTTAGAAATTGGATTCCTTTGTATTGTAAGATCGTTTTTTGGAGTAGGACTGCTTATCTTTATTTCCTTTCGCAATAAGCAAGGAATTCAGTTAGGGCCATTAACTGCTATCCGTCCATTTTCTTATCTAACCATGAAGTTTATGACCCATTGCAAGGTATCTGATTCTGCTTGGTGGCAACAATTGCCTAGGCATATTGGAGACACCGGAATAAAGCGTCATGGAAAATGGATTAACAATGTTAATATTCTACCTTGTTTTACGATTGCGTGTATGCGATTTAGAGAGAAATGAAGTAGAAAGCAAATAGGAGCATGTCTTCAAGTCTATTTATGCTACACTTTCTAGGTATTCCTTGTTCACTTGATGATTTCTTCATAAAGCACCTTTTTGTCGATATGACTAATGCAAATACGAATCAATCAATGCTTGTGCTAACCATTGCCATCCATTTAATGTCTTTAGAATTGTTACTTGCTACTATATTTCATACATTTTATTGTGGGGGTATGTTTAGTTGCTTAATTTAGAAATATTTGCAGTTAGACAATGATGCATTTGTACATAGATTATAATAGTCTTTCTGGTATAGATCACAAGAGACCCATCCGAAGAAAGGGATGATCAGGATCGTAGTAGCGGTAGTGAATGCGGTTCTTTGACCGAATACTGGTTAGTGACGGATTATCTTGCCCATGGTTCTGTCTACGACTACATTCACAGCAATGTGCTCTCCTGGGGTCAGATGTTGTGGATCGCCATGGGAATGGCACGTGGTCTCAGCTATCTTCACACTGAATTGCCTTGCACAGCTACACAATATCCCAAACCCAGTATCGCCCATCGTGACTTCAAATCCCGCAATGTCCTTCTGAAAGCTGACCTCACTCCGTGCATTAGTGACCTCGGTTTGGCTACTCGTCTAGAAACTGGTCGTGGCTTTGGCGATGCTCACCTTCAGGTTAGTAAAGTGCACTTTGCTTTTCAGTCTAGTAGTGGAAGAAATAGTGGGAATTCCCCCCCCCCCCCTCTTCCCATTTCCTGGTTCGTTAGCATACACAGAAGTACATATTGGGAGTGGCGTTTGAGTCATATTTCTGTTCTCGCCATACTTTCCTAGTTTGCTTGACAATTGTCTGCGTTTTATTACTGTGCTTCTAGAGTAAGTGCCGCTAGTGTATGTGTCCTCTCGTTATATTTATTCCCTATGCTAGCATTGCAGCTATCCTAAGATCTAATTTCGCTTATTACAGTAAAATATTTTATCCACAGCTAGTTAGTAGCTCTCCATAGAATTTGGGTATTACCTTGGATTAATTCAGATCGAATTCGGCAGTCTTTTTCTATTATTTTTATAAGTGTTTATTGAGACCAACCATCAAATCTTTCATTAATATTCATGAAGTATGCATCCTCTCAACAAGATGAACACCACCTATCAACCAATTTTTACTTTTCCCTGAGGTGGGACATTAGGGACGGGGGGGGGGTCCTATTGTCACTAATGATGACTACCCTCGTTAGCCAGGACATGACTATTACAGTGTTCAGCAGTTTCGCGTAATCATTCCGCGAGTTGTGCTTTTTCTTGTCATAATTTTTTGGCATCGAAATGGTACCGAATTGTTTGTGTTTTTGTGTTTGTGTTTCAATTTGTCCAAAATTTTTCCCCTTTGTCATTCAACGCCTCTCGAGAGCCTTCCCTGTGTGAAGTTGACCTCTGGCGCGCTTGTAAGGGCTTTTAGAAATGTCTTCATTGAGTATAGGTTTCTTAGTAGTTGCTGAAATATTCAATTAACTGTAGCGACAAAGCTCGAATCCCGATACCGATGTGCTTCGACGTATTTTCGAGCGCGTTCATATCACACCTTCTCTTATCCTGCTTTCTTCTAGCTACAGAGGCCTCTTAGTCTCTATTACAATTCTCCAGTTCATTTAGTTTTTTTATTGTCGACTATAAGTTCTATTTCGATGGCCGGTGCTAAACACTACAATAGAAGTTATTCTATTCCGTGAAACAGATGGGCTCCAGTTGCTACTAATTCCTGTTGTCATCAATTATATGAATGAAGAAGGGTTTAAACTTTAAATAAAATCCAATTGTGGGTGATCACCTTTAATCGCATATGCAAATCAAACGTACTTTATTATTTATTTTATTCCTTCTTTCTTGAAAACCTGCATTAGTTTTTTTTGTTATTTTCATCTTTCTTTTGATGAACATTGCTTGCATTTAACCTTACGAAAGGGAACGAAGATGATTAGATACAGCCTTGATCAACTTTCTTTTCATAAGGTTAATAATATTCACAGTGGAGCTATCTGTAATAGTAATAGTCTATTTTCTGTTTCGCCTATCACTTTGGCTCAAGAATGGTTAGTAATAGCTTTTCGTTTAATTTTAATAACGTACAAATTAACAAAAATATAACTACACTTCTAAAATGGCACACTAGAATAGATCGTTTTTAATGTGTGTTTGAGATATATAAATAATGAGGATTCTTTGCTGAAAAACCTAAGAGATGCTTATTTCTTCTAATTGGGGGGGGGGGGGGGGGGGGGGGGGGGGGGAGAGGATAGGCAGTTGCGTCGGCATCAACGACTTTGCTTCTCTCTCTCTCTCTCTCTTGATCCCTCCAAGTGTGTCTTCTACATAAAATGCACCTACCTGTATTCTTTTTCACATACAAATATGTGCGCACACATGTCGCCAATTGTGTTGCATGAATGCGTACATTTTCTCGTGAAGATAAAGTCAAACATGTTCACACTCGCTCCATTCCTTTTGCTCTATTGTTCTTTGATCTGATTAGTCACCGCCACCACCACTACAGTCGATTTTGATGCTGTGTGTCGGTGCGTGTGAAGTGTAAAGCATTTTTGTAGAGTTTTGAACCGGAGATGCCAATTATATGGAATGTTATATTTGTTTAGTTAAAATTAACCATTAGTGGGCAGCAGAATTGGGATTTCACAGATCCTCCTCTGAACTTCAAAAAAACTTTTATATCTCCAATCTAAATCTAATGATTAAATTAGTGAAATACTAATTTTACCCCTTTGAGCGCGCAAGTTCGCCAATTTTTCATCACATTCCAACGCATCTACCTTCAAACATTTTGTTGAATAAGAGAATGTCTAGCTATTGCACTAGTCATAATTTATTTACCATCTTCGTAATTCCAAATAATTTGCTTGTTATCTTTTACTGTCAGTGTAGTGTAGATCCGAGTGATCAATTAATTCCTTAACATTGTAGTCATATTCTGCTCATTTTATTCAACGATGAGTGGTAGCTAACGTCTGAATATGGGTTTCACTGTCTACTCTATGTGATTCTTACAACATCTCCAATATATGTGCATATGTACTTTGTTCCTTCCTTGAATGAGTACAGAAGACACAGTTTTGACGTTAACGCGACTCTTTTTTAGTACTGGACTTGATGCGCTAGTGTTTGTACCTAGGTTGGAGATTGATGCTGACCTTTAGACTTCCCTTATGAAAGCGACGTGTACTCGAATAATTTGTAGCCGTGATACTTGGCTTCTCCTGTACGTCATTATGTGGGGGTCTTGTGGCTGTGTTGAAGTATTTCCCTCCTTTTGGTGGTGGTGGTTTTTTAGTACTTGTGGTGGAAACATTTTTTTGCCCTTAGATTGTTGTTACATCTGTCATACAAATTGCCTCCTGCCTGTGTGTTTTCAGCACTTGTCATTTAACTCATAGGTCAGCTTAATTGACCTTCATGGCTCTTTCTAAAATACGTGGAAGTTTCATCTACGCACTAAGGAACTTCTAAGTCAACATGTGAGAAATTTTTATTTTCAGTGTGTTCGCGTGTTCCTGCTGTTTCCTACCTTCAAGTTAGATTATGCTAAACGAAAAGTATTATTTTAATATCGTTTATTTGAGATATTACTAGATTAGTAAAGCCCTTGTATTTTAAATTAATTCTACCTCAAGCATTCATTCGCTTACTTTTCAGTTAGACAATTAATGTCATAAAATTTATTTCAATTTTGATTATAGGTCCGATCGATTGTCTATGGGTTTCTATTTATGTGTTCCAAGAAATTTTTGATTGTCCTTGATTTTTGATCTGTGCTTGGTGTTTGGAGAATCAGTTTTGTTACTTTCCTTTATTGTTACAATTTGTACACCTCGACCTAGTGAACTATTTCCTTCATTTTACACTTAGAATGTTCCCACCTTGTTGAACTACATTTTGTTTCTACTTTGGGCCACAGTCTGGTTTTCTAGTTGCTCACTATAGAAAACGTCACTTCTTGCCACCGCTCTTGAATATAATTAATGGGCTTAATAGGTCCTTTAGGTCAGTAGATAGGCATCAAATGATTTCTAACTCATAGACCTAAGCTCTGAGGTGCTATATTTTTTTACAATAAGTGCTACTTTCCTTATGCTAGCGTTTGAACCCAAAGTCATTTATTTCGCGGGTGGTGTCTCTTTCATTTAATCTTTATTCCTCCTATTAGGTGGGCACTGCTCGTTACATGGCTCCAGAGGTGCTAGATGGTGCAATCCAATTCACCCGAGATGCCTTTCTCCGCATCGACGTCTATGCACTGGGTCTGGTGATTTGGGAGCTCATGACTCGTGCCCGTCCATCCGGCTACCCAATTAAGAGCGATGAAGAAGGCATGGGGGAAAATGGATTCCCCCCCTACATGGCACCGTTTGAGGCCGAACTGGGTCCCAATCCCAGTATGGATAAACTCCAGCACTACGTAGCCAAACTGCGAAATCGACCTCAGCCTTTTCCATGGTGGGAGAATGACCAGGTATTCTAATTTCTTCCTTGTTCAAGCTGTCATGGTTATGATCTTGTGCTTGGTACCCACTATGACATATTTCGTTTAAATGTGCGTTACCTTATGTCTGCCACTTTTACTGCCATTTGGTTGCTGTTAAAATTATTTGAGGTATTCATTTTGGGTACTCGATTAGGTATTGACGAGAAGCATAGAACTAATCAATGAGAGCATTTACTTCATTCTTTGGTTTAAAATTTCCCATTAGTTTTGTCTTTTCCCTTTATGTAAAAGTGAATACATATTTACAATAAATACCCATGGCCTTTATGCACTTTAGAAAGTCCAAAACATTGACCTCGTAATATTTAGCTTTCTTGTTAGTAAACATCATTGTGGTATAAGGTCCATTTTTTTAAGTGTCACGTATTTCATAGCTTCAAAAAGGGGTTATCACCTTTTACTGCCTTCTTTCTTTAGTATCTCATTTCCTAATGCATTGCAATAAATACGGAAATCGATATTTATTATCTTTACTCTGCTTTTCTGAACATTATTACTATTAGTATTTCAATTGGGAGTCTTTATGATATTATCTTTTGTGGTCAGCATTTGTATTGCCTTATAATAAGTGTTTCCTCTACTTTAAAGAGTGATTCAAGTTATTGTCGCCAATATTAGATATTTCAGTAAGTCTACATTCGCAGTTTATGTTGTTGGTTAACGCAGGCAACATTTACTGTGGTTATGAGAGTGAGCATAGTTTATTATAACTGTGTCCTCTCTTTAACTCCCTTACTAGTCTCAGATTAGTGAGAAATGAGGTGCAAGATAAAATTTGGCTCTTTTATAACATTCCTCCTTTATGTGTCAATCCCTCTCCCCTCTCTTGTTGCATTTGATATGCAAGCATCACCCCCGTATCCCGAATAAGAGTAACGAAACAAATTTAGCGAATGTAGCTCCAGTTGATCATCGAGTAGCGGGCGGCAGCTTTGAAAACTGCTTCGTGCTGCTCTTAAGAGCATAGCCACCGCGATTTGGCTTACTTAATGGACTGTAGAGGGATTATTAATACAGAGGAACAAATGGCAACAGCAAGGCTTCTTAGTTTTATCACTCCCCTCTCGCTATCACTTTATCATCAGTAGCAGTCGTGGCGTGTCCTCACTTTAAAGCCATGTGCGGCGCAGGAGTCTTTTAAGCACACATGTTCTTTGTGCTGTTCTCCTGCTTTTTCTCTCACTGCGTCTGTATTTGTCGAGGGCAGCTAGTGTTACTCATGCCCCCCCCCCACCTCTCTGTCTGTTTTGTGAGGCCCCAGTTATTAGGCCAACTAACTCGTGCCAAGACACACACAGGTGCTGTAGCCAGACAGCTGCGTGCCTGTCTGTTGCTTTTAGAGTCCGTCCGTTCTTGGTGTGTTTAAAGGGACTGTCTGGTGATATATGTACGAGTATTTACTTAAGGTCCTTGGAGGGTTAGCAATTCATCTACTAGAAGTTGAAGAAATATATACGCGCAGAGTAGTTGCTGACTTTCAGAAATTCCTTAATATTTAGAGTTGACATTTATTTGATATTAATTTCGGTGAAAAGTCTTCATAAAACTCACTTTTATTGTATTGAAAAGCATTTTCGGTACTAGATTGATTGGTTTGCGCTTTGAATATTTAATTTTTACCCCTTTCGAATTGCTTTAGTATTTCGGATAGAGGAACTTTGCAGAGAAGATATAATTATGTGTGAATTAATACCCATTTTATTTGTCTTCGTTTTAATAACGAGAAATACCTCGCTATACTCTGCGTTTCATAATGGAAAGATAATACAGAAAAAAATTAATACTTTCGTCTGGTAAGGGGCATTTCAAAATGTTTCCTCTAATTGAACTGCAATTATCTTGCTCTGTACCAACGCGGGAACTTGTATTCCTCCTTTTGGTTGTAACATCGGCTTGTAGACCCTTGATATATTTAATCGCTATATTTCGCTTCATCTCCAAGAAATCTAGGTTATTTTCCCGTCACTCTTTATCCCCTTATGGCTTTATTACAATGAAATTTTAATTTCACAGGGAATCAGAATATGCGTTTACTCAGTATTAAATAAGGTTCTTTATAAAATTCTTATCCTTTCAAGTTTGTTTGCAAATGTATGAGTTTGACAAGAATAGGCATAACTCTCACTGGCTATTTAAAAATTTTTATTATATGTTATTAGTGTACATAGAACAAATTTCACCCTTTTAACTAATTTAACCTTAATTTCATTTTAACAGGCATTCTTGCAGCTTTGGGAGACCGTGCAAGACAGTTGGGACCACGATGCCGAGGCTCGAATTACAGCCGGTTGCATTGCTGGCCGAATTCAGAATTTGAGTCAACGCTATCCTCTCTCCTCCGATGATCCCGCTCATTACTTGCTTTTTCTTGCCTCTCCTGCGCCATTAATCAATACTTCGGGAGCGTCGACCGTTGTCTCCACAGCTTCTTCCTTCGAAGCCCCCGGTTCGAGTTCTGCTTCTTCTCCTCATAGTAGTCCCATTGCGCCAAATCCTGAAGTTGTGCCCCTTCTACCAACTTCTAACCCTCCAAATGAGAGATCTACCTGTGGGTCTTCTATTGAGATGGTGTAGCCTAAAATAAGCAACCAATAGTCCTTCTGTACGCTACTGCATTTACATCTATGCGTACCCTGTATACAACCCCCCCCCCCCACTCCCTCTACCCCTCTCTCCTACGCGCCACATTATGATCAATTGACAAAAATATATCTGTGCTCTCCTGCTTCTTGTTGTTTATTTTCAGTCTGTTTGTTTGTGTGCTATGATATTTAAGTGTGCTATGGTTGTATGTGTTATTTATCCTTTTTAATCATACCTTCCTCTTTATGCCAAGTGTGGTAATGTCAAGTGGTGCTAGCTCGCTCCTTTATTGCTCTTGAGAGGGCGTACGCCTACACTACACCGCTTATGCACTTTTACAGGCCCAATAAAAAGCCCTCTGCTTCGCCAATTTAGCTAATTGGATTCCCTTTGTTAATTAAAAACTCCCTCAGTATTACTCATGGTAGAGGACACGATAAGAGAGCTAAGCATTTATTTATTAATGGCTGAGGAGATCACCCAAACTCCCAGTTTTGAATTGGTGATTTCTTGGACGTCAGTTTTCATAATCTCCAATTGGTGGACATGTGGCTTTACGCGGTAGACAAGTAGTTGGTAGGTCCTTCAATTGTCGTCATGTAAAGCATGTTAAATAAGACCTACAATAGACTAATTCTACTGTGTCTGTGCTATTATAATTGCTGATTGGAGAGCGGTCGTTTCTGTTTTCCTACTGGGTTTAAGTAACGGTATTCGCACGAGAGTAGACCACTATGTCCATACAACACCGATTTTTCTTCTTTTCGAGAGAATTTCAGTGAGCTATCTTGTCTGCCTTGTCTAAATTTGCTTATTTCCTCGACTTTTGTGGAGTGAATGGAGTGGTATTTGAAATCACGCGTGTTTGTTTATTTAAAATAACGAATCACAATTTCGGTTGCTAGATTTACTAGTGTGTAACACATTTTTTATTTCTTTCCTGTACTTTCTCGTAACCTATCTCCATTAATCGTATTCAATCTCTAGCTTTGCATTAGCAAAAATGAGGACTATAGTATTTTTTTTTCTGAACAGTTCTTTTAATGTTCTGCTTTGTCTGTTTGCCTCCTTTATAAATACTAACTTTGACTTCGCCAATTTTCAGTTTGAACCCATGATTACTACTCCGGAAGAAAGTGTTGACATGGATATTGTCTCGAGCGATCCAAGTGACTCAAAGAATGCCAAAATTGAAGAGCAGGAGAACGCTATCGGTTCCCTTCGTAATGAAGCTGTTCGTCGAAAGGAGCGCCTCATTGAACTGCGTAAACAGACACTGAATAAAGGTCTCCCTGGCAGTGGTCTGTTACTTCAACAAGAGGGTGATTTGCCTAAACCAATCTTCAGAAATTACAATCCCATTTCAGATGATCTCAAGGACGGCTTGTTGCCTGAAAGAACGATGATCAATTGTAAGAGTTCTGTTAACTAATATCCAATTTTTTCCCCTGTATATTCACACCTCGAGTTAAAACGTGCGTGGGATAAAAGTGCCTCTCCTAACTTACGCGCTCCTAAATTGCCACTGCCGTCGCTTCTGTTTCCTTTCATCTTGACTTCCTGAGCTGAAATCAATTCCTTTCAAGTTCCGCGCTTGTGCACTTTTGTATGTTTGTGTTATGAGGGTGATGCTCACGGTGACAGGATTGATGAGGGAGATGGTTATTTCCTTAATACTAATTAGAAATTCAACTCTCTTCCTTTTCCGTTAAATTGAAACTTACCCACTATTCTGATGAAAGTGAATGCTTAAACAGATATTATTTTTCTTCACCTGCAAAAATTGCTTTCCTTTTCCAATGATGATAGCGATTTAGAAATTTATTTATATCAAATGGCAGGCGTTTTGATAGTTATAATTAGCCCTTTAGTTGACTTCAGGCTTCACAGAGAGGAAGGAACATCAAAGTGAAAAAAGTAGAGGGGGGGGGGGGTAACAGAAGAATGTTTCAAATATGTAAAAGAGAGACACAAAGGTAGAGAAAAGGGCGAGGTGAGTCCTGTGGAAGTAGTCGAATATGACATACAGTGGGGTGATGGTAGTTTGAAGTGAGAAGTCAACTGCCAGTTAATAGACTTTTCTGTCGTATGAGTATACGTTGCACAGTGTGCACCACGTGGAGGTAAGTCTATCACACACCCCGCGATTTAAAAATAACTATCGGTGTTTTGGAGTCCAGTTGTTTCATGCTTTTTCATTCTTTTCGCATATTTATGTTGCAAGTATTCCTTGAAACTGGAATTAATTCTCCAACGTTTTCTACCAAGTTTTTACGGTGTGCTCTTTGTGGTACTTTTGCTCTCTGATTCGTTGATCTTCTTTGCTCCTGTTTGATTTCCGAGTGTTTGCTCATCCCATAACCACACAATGACTCACAAAGGAAAAAATAGTCTACGTCTCCAGTCTATGTCAACCAGGTTGTCCTTCCACATTACTGACGCCTACCCCCCNCCCCCCCCCCCCCCCCCCCCCCCCCCCTCCCTCCTCACAATCCGTTTTCCTTCTCCTTTCCCTTATCCAACTTTCAATCTTACCAACTCTTAGTCTTCTCAGTAAAGTCTCTTGTTTCATAATTTTTAAACGAGGAAACCTAGCCTAGTTCCTAAAGTAGCCTTACTTGTGGCCTAAGCCATTCCATATTCTCATTTTCAAAATTTGATCCGAGTTATCATACTCTATTTTAATTTGATGAGGAATTTAGTTTTTTGTAGATTGAAGATCCTAGGTCATGTTAGGTCTCTGCTAATATTGAAGAGAATTAACTTTCCCCATGCTTGTAGGACCAGACGTCGTTTCTTTCTAATTAGTTCAAGCGATGTGGTAGTTTGTGTATAACGGTATGCATGCACTGGTACAATTTAATGCGACTGAAAGCTGAGGTGACTGTAACTTTTCATTTAATAAAGAGTATGACATGGGTTATGGTTTTGATTAGCTTCTCGATTGGCCATGGTCCCTTCTCACGCAGGAACTTGAAAAATCAGTAGCCAATAATTTATTTCACGAGGAATGAAGCCCTTGAATTTTGTTCACTTCACCCAAGTGATTCTCTTGACTGGCTTATTCCTTTCTAGAATGTACATATCATTTAATTCTTTGGAATGACTCATTTTTGTTTTTATGTTCTCTTTTGGCTTCATGTCATGTCGTCTGACGAAAAATCGTCGATTCTACCTTCTATTAGCAGAAAGCTACTGATTCGATCTTGATATATATATATATATATATATATATATATAACTGTTTCACCAAGTAATTTTAGTAAATCTAGCTTAAGTTCATTTTTAAATAGTTGAAGTTGTGTTAAGTAGCTTATAAGCTACATGGCCAAGTTTCTTTAAAGGGAGGTTCCTCTGATCAAAATGAGCTTTCTTTAGCTGACTTTAGAGTTAATTTGTTCAAATTGTTTAGTCTTGAGTGAGACATGTTTAGTAAACGCTATCTGGATTGTTTCATTGTTTTACTCAGTTCTAGTTACTTCGTGGTCTTTGGTTATGTGTCACTGTTGGTCCGTAATCGTACTCCCTTTGTTTACACTGCGTTCAATTTATTAGTCGATTTATGTTTAAATTTACCCCCCCCCCCCACGCCACCCCACTCCTCTTCGACTCAGTCTTAATCAGTTATATCATCAGTTTCATCTGATTCGTAAAGATTTGTATGCATTACTTCCTATTTTGCAAAGAATATTCCGAAAAGCGTGATGGTGGGAGGTAGTAGTGTGTGTAATTTCAACAATCGACTTGATTACTGACCAATTGTGTGGTCTGCTGTGGATTCGTTGTATGATGTATGGCACAGTTTGGGTAAACACATCACTTTGATTTAACACCAAACCGACCTTTGGGGCTCTTTGATTTAAGTTAATTGAATTACTGTTCTGTTTTGGATGGGGGGGGGGGGGGAGGCGGGGAGAGGTTGTGAAGGGGGATGCTCGATTCTAACTAGGTAGTAGCTGTTGACAGAATTGGGAGCAATTTTCTCTGTGATTTACTTTAAAGTCTTTCATACACTTTCAATTAAGACAAGAGGTAATGAAAGTGTTATTGCTAATGCCTGTTTTGTACTTCTTTTAGTGGAAGTACGTGTTGCCGATCAACTGGAGGCTGCCAAAGCAGAAGCTGTTGTTGATGAAGTGGTAAGTTATAACCCTAACCCTATTTTTGTACGTATCTTGTCTCGATGGTCTAATTTGAAGTAGTCTCATTCAATAATGTGGCCTATTTCCCTTTCAAAGTGTACTTCGGATATCTTTTTTTATCATTTAAGAGGTTATTCTTGAAGGCCTTGTGAATTCACTAATCAGACGTGTACGCTGTAAACACTGCCAATGAAATTCGCAATGATAGTGAAGTGAACTTTGTGCTAAACAGTATAAAAATGGATCTAATAGGTCAAAGCTGTTGTACAAGAACTCCTTAGCACAAATATAACGCCTATGGAGGAAAATTACTTGAATTTCATCGTCTCAATAATAATTATAATAATTTCCATCCCTTATTATTTTGATATAAAATGGAATTTCGCAAAGCCTATTAATTATTAATTATGGCATAATCTTTCTGTGGGAATTAGATGTATTCATCAAAATCTGAGCATAATTTGACAATCTCCTACATCCTCAATCAGGTGAGTAGATACTCGGAATCGGTTGCATTCTTAGCCAATAGGCGAAAACTACTTAGTGCCCAATGTATTCCATGCGATTGCCTTTATTGACCTAAAGTTTAATAGTATAGCGTATTTGCATCCACGTGTTTTTTCTCTAATTCGCCGTTTTTATTTATGCGCTTAGTATTTGCGGAGAAGTTGACAGGTGGTGGTCACCTTTAGTTCATGAAATAATTACTTAAGCATAGAAACAACATGATATAACGCGTTTTGCTTGACATTGATGGATTATGATCGAATTGAAGGCAACTTCACATCCACCTCACAGTACTTTTTATCGTTGAAAACAAAAGCCGAAAATATAGGCATACTTCTAGTAGGGCTTCGTGTTGCTCATTCGGGAACTGCGTCATAAGTACTGGCTATTTTCTTAGTCGTTATTCTTTTCTGTTAGCCTAAAGGGTGTAAAAAATGACCTGTAGTCAGTTGGAAAAACACTGGCACTATTACTTAATTTGGAAGTTTGGCTTCCATGTTGCAGCCTTATCGATTTCTGTGAGCACTGCTTTGTTTACTCTAAACTCCGGTGGTGAGTTGTTTTCTAGGATCTTATAGCGTTGACGGTTTTATTATCTATGCATTGTGCTAAAATTGTCAAAACTGTTAACAATTTATGTGCTTTCTTTGACAACTGGTGAGATCACGATCTCTCCCTCTCTCACTACTTACTACGTTTTTATTTTCCCACCTAGAATCTTTTCAATCTGGCACCCCGCAAACCCGACTGGGATCTCAAGCGTGGCGTTGAGAAGAAACTCAAGAGATTGGAGCGCAGAACTCAACGAGTTATTGCCGAATTAATCCGTAGGTTTTTCACCACGCTGTGTGGCTTTTGTTATTGTGTCATTCTATTTGCGCACGCGTAGAAACACACCAGCCTGTTTTTGTTATTTCCGTCGTCGTCAGTAATGGCGAACTGGAGAGAGAGAGAGATCGATTGGGGTCCCATTGTTCACCAACTGGTTTTATTTGTGTGAATGCATGGTGGTGCGTTTGTTCACTAGGTGCTAGTAGATATGCGCTAAACACCACGTATTTTGTATGCATCTTGAGAAAGTGCAAACAAGCCGCAATATCTGCTTGCTGATGCTATTAGTTGATTTGACTAGGTTCCTTATGTATATAAATCACATTAGTCATTTCAAATCCAGGAGTATGCACTTGTTTTGATGATTTTGTTTGGTTTAACTTAACCATTAATCGAGCTGTTTAGTGGCGTCCTCCTTTGAATGGATTACTCCCAATAAATCAATGATTACTGATGGTGGTTGCCCTATGGTGTTATAGTCCTATCCATGAATGTTTCATCCAAACTATGGGTAACCTCATTGCCGACGACTTAGGATACTGGAGGTTCAGTTAGAAGCGTCAGTATTTGATTGCATTCTGATTTTATGTGCTTATTTTTATCTGATGCTCGAATTCATGGCTGTGACTATACTACTCTCCTTTGAGGTCGGGGTAAAAGGAATCGCCTTTATAATTACATTTGATGACAACATTGGTGGCAGCCCATGCGGACATTTTTTCTTTTCTCCTTTCCCGCCTTCACATTTAGGCCATTTTTTCATTCTGCTCTCTAAGATGGCAGGTTCTCTGCATTAAATTAGCAACTACTCTTTCTGATTTGCTGTTTGATATAATAGGGTCTTTCAGTGAATATCTCTTAGTTTAGCGCTTCTCACTTCTTTCTGGACGCTCCTAGTATTTAGTCAATAGCATTAAAATATTGGACGGTTGCACATCTAATCACCCTTTTCCCCTAAGTTTCCTGTCTCTCGTTGTGCCTCAAAAGTTATAAGTCTGAAAATGGATCAACTATTGGCACTCATAAACTGAAAGGGGTTTTTGGATGTACTCTGTGGTCTAAATTTAACATGAGATGCAAAAATTCCTACCGCTCAAGAAAATTCATCTAAAAGTACTATGAGGAACGTACTACCTCCTAGTCATGGTCTATTTGCCTAGGGATTGTCAGAGAAACCATTTTGGGATGAGATTTCTAGTATTTGTTTTAAAATTGAATCCTGTGATGTCCGAAATAACTAACTTGGACTTCGACTGTCCATAAATCATTGGTAAGATTCCAATATTTCCTTTTAACCATCTCCTGATTAGAATGTACATCAAACTCTATGGATTGTGTTGTGGAAAAATATTAGGTTGAGTTGTAAAAAGCGTTTCATATTATTACTAAACTATCTACTATTGTTTCAGGTGAACGACTAAAGGCCGAAGAGAATTCAATGGCTACGGTTGAAGGCCCACCAGTATCTAAAGATACCATAGTCGGTTGAGCATTTTGGACTGATGTATTGTCTACACCTTTTGTATTTGTACAGTCCCATTTCTACTATACCGTTAAAACTAAATTCAAGTAATTCTCTGTGTTCTTTTCTCCTCTTATAACCTGAAGTTCATGTTTTTTACACGAAGTCAGAAGAGCTGAAAGCTAATGTATTTTCGGAAATGCACATCTTATTTCCTTCTTTTCAATGCAATGCACAGTCTGTAGTTTGTTTCTCTTCCATTAGACTTCTGTGGAGTTTCCAACCATTTTGTAGTGCTCATGTCCGCAAGCGTCGGTAGCCTGTAAAAAATGAAACAAAGTGAGATTTTTTGTGCGCAGTGGTTGGAAAATGCTGTAGAGACAAATAGGAATACCCTTTCCAATCTTACCTCAAATGCATAGCCATCACGACTAATCGCATCTTTATTCAAATAAGCTGCAGGGCAATGCCAGTCAATTTTCTTAGGCGTGTAATCGGTCATATAGTTTGTCTTTGCATCAAAGTCACCACTGACAAAGGGTTTGGCAGATGGTTTGGCTGAGGGGGCCGGACATGCCTGCTTCGGCACATAATCCGCCTAATGTAAAAATAATAAACTCTTATTACTGATAGCATTTAAGGAGGAAAGCTGTATCCCCCTTACTCTGTTTGTTGAGAGTGTTTCCATTGGAACATTAGGAGGTGTGTAAGAAGTAACCGGCTTGACCACATGTCTACGCACATCCCAAGGTTTGTAATCGGTCTTGTACATAGTTTTCCCGTCGAAAGGTGCTGGACACTTCGGACATTCAGTGAGAGTGACTGGCTCTGGTCTACATATGGGCAACTATAAAATCAACAATCAAAGTAGGTTGTAAACTCATTCAGATTATTCGAATAAATACGGATATTTCGGTAAAAATAAGCTCACAGCAGGATAATCAATCTTATAAGTGGTTCCTTTCTCCATGGGTATATCAGGCACCCTATATTCGTCACTTGGACGGTTTTTGCGTTGTGGTTGCAATTGATGTGGAATATAGTCAACACGATTTGTTGTATCGCCACTCATTGGTTCGTCGCTGCGAATAAGAACATCAGTTGGCTTGTGAGGCCTTTGAAAGCCTATAGGGGATCATTATATTTGGTCATATATACGGGAAAATAGGCTTATAAAGTGCACATTGAGCTCTAAACGTACAGACGTCCTTTGGTGTATAATCAACCCTGTGAGTAGTTAGGCCTTCAAAAGGCGCAGTTGTTTTAACTTGATGTTCCTTTTTAGAACGTTCTCTGGGTTCAAAAGGGTGGGGAACATAGTCTGTTCTATAGTTGGTATCACCGTCAAGAGGTTGATCAGTTTGAAAGAGTTTCATAACTGGCTTCAAAGAAGGCCTTTTGCAATTACCCTTGGGTACGTAGTCCGCTCTTGAAGTTGATAGGCCATCGAAGGGTGCGGCAGGTGGTTTGTATGTGTCAATTTTTCGTCGTTCACGCGGAGGTACACTCCATGGTCTGTAATCGCCTGAATAAACAGAAGTAAGAATGTGTAATTTTGGATTCAGCAATTAGAAGTACGATGCGTTACGTAAGAGGACATATTTTGCATCAGAATGAAACTCAAAACACTTTCCATTAGCTAGCAGTAGCACTCTCAGACACAGTTAGAAGTGAGCAAAATTGATTTCTCTGTATCTCAACGATCACGTTAAATTGGGTTGACAGATAACATTTTGCATTTATTCAATAAAATCATGTTAAGTAGTTAGTTAAATCAATCCAAATATGCTATAAAGATTTATTTGAATCTCAGAGTTTTTCCATTAAATAACAATATCCCATAAATTCAAAGGAATTAGTTGAGGATATTTTTAATTAATTTAAAAAAAATTGAAACGCATAAGTAAATTTTATTCAACGTGAGAGATACCAAGGAGGCGTATATTTTAAACAGCTCTCTGCTTTCTTATCAGTTCGTTTAAACTCAGATTAAAGTCAAACTTGTTTAAATTAGTAAAAATAATGAGGTCAAAAAACAACAACTGTTTGGGTTTAAAGACAAAAAAGTTTTGCCAGTATAAAGCCTAAATGAAGGTAGAGGATGGTATTTAATAGTTAAGGGATGATATCATCTATACAGTCTGCCAAATAGTTACACATATATTTGTAACTTCAGGTTGCATGGGCTTTCCTCCTGATAGCACTGATGAAATAGCAACAAGTCTTTTGCACTTATAGTCATTCAAGCAAAATATTTAAACTAGGAATGTATTACTTACTCCTGTAAGTAGGATTGCCATCAAATTTAGCAGGGCACCCAAAAACAGGTGGAGGTAAACAGGGTTCAGGTGGACAAACCTCTTTCGGTGTATAAGTGAGACGATAGTTGGTGTCATGATCAAAAGCTGTCGTTGGAGGCTTGTATGTCTCTTTTGGACGACCTTGACGTCGTTCGAACGCCTTGGGGACATAGTCCTCACGATGCGTGGTTCTGTCCGACATTGGCTCATCGGAGCGTAGTACCACCGTTGCTGGCTTAACGGGTCTAATTGGACATGCAGAATGGGCTCTGAAATTAGCATTGTACTCAGAAACAACGCAGGGTCCCCAGGGTATCACTCGCTTCTTTTGATGAGGACACTGATGTCGGCTTTTAAGAAGAACAAAACATTAGTTTTACGGTTTATTGCCCCGATACGATTGTGCCACTTCAAAATGCCAAAACTTCTCAATAAAAGCTTAGGAACTTGTTCGATTTTAACATAGTATCAGCCCTGTTAGAAAATAGAATATATGCTTTATAAACTACTTATAGGTATTTATATCTAGCGCAAGTAGCCATTATCAAGTACTCTGACTTTGCATCCAATTAAAGTAATGCTTTCAAATATCTCAGGCAAACAAGTTTGTAAAAGCTAGAATAAAAACTAATGATAAATTTCATTACCACACTCCTAACGTTATTAATCACACCATAGATATCATATATTTGACATGAAATCAATTCTCCCATTCCATCAAATTAAAACTTGAATTGCATATTTACTGCAAATCCGACATTGTTAAAAGACACATATAAGAAAAATATTGCGTTCAGTGTTGTTGTCTAATATTTCAAAATATAGGAATTCGACATGGTTGTTATTGCAATTAGCAAACAGACGTGTTCTGAAACTTGTCGGAGAGGTTATAGAAAGTTCATTCTTTACTTTAATTAGGTGCATACCACACAGATTTGAATGAATGCTTTCTATCTGCATTCGTAATAGATTTATATTGAATTAGCGTCAGCTTTTGCCTGTATTAATGATATGGAGCCGAGTTATTCTGCTGCTTGTTCTCAAACACTCCAAAAATGAATATGTATTCTGCAGTGTTTCAATACCGCAACACATACTAAAAATTAAACAAGAAAAAGAGGAGCAAAAAGTCGTAAGGAGTTTGCAATTTGTGCTAACGGAAATTCTATGCAAATTTGGAGGCTCTATTATTTTAATTAAGCACACCCTATGGATTTTGAAAAATCCTCACTTATAGACGAATATAGAATGGAATGAATGCTAAGATCTTCTTATTTTATTGACAAATTTCACGTCTTAATATTTACGCCAATTGCATTCATGCAAAAGTCCATTCCTTTTATATAACAAGATTCATTTACAAAAAAATGCTTCGGTATAATCAAAGCATAACGGAAAAATAAAGTTAAGAAACTATTTCATGAAAAATACATTGAATGTTGCCGAAATTAATTGATTTATTCATAGATTATAGGACATGTAGGCTCACCCACATACACAAACCTCGCAAATGCAAGGTTCCCTCATGTATGGTTCATTCGCTAAGTTTACTTTACACGGATTGTTGACCTTTCCCATTTCCCACGATAATATATTAATAGGTTATAATATGCGGCTTACATGTCGAAACGTTTATTGAGAAATATAAACGCAAAATAAAAAACTTAAAATGTTTAAGCTCTTACTTAGGATATGTGGTAAGCATATAAACGATACAAAGACATAAAATAATGATAAAATTTGAAAATACAATAAGTATCCTGATCACTGTGTAAAGCTTTAATTTGTGGCCTCCAAATTTTTTTCACTCTGTTATATACTTGAATTATGCCCCATGGATTCCCTTTTAGATAAAAGTCATTTCGCGAATATGCTATGAGATAATATTTGACTCTTTCAGCCCCGTAAAACACCAACCCATTTTTACATATATGGCGTTTTTGAACACAATGTCACTCGTTAAATTTAATAAGTTCCTGAGATGCTCACCAAAATTTCTATATTTTCGCCGGAATTTAAATTTACCAGAATACCAAAGCAAAATTTTAATGAATGAATATGATTTAGCTGTTCAGGATTTCCGCATCGCTTCGTCTGTTGAAGAAGCCGAACGGATCGTTGCTGCGTTTAAAGTATTAATATGTTCTTTTACTCATTGAAAATAAATGTAGCCGAATTTGTATGTATTAAAGGCTCAAGTTCAGGCTGGTGGTAGGAAATTGGGGAAATTCTCTACCGGAGGCGGTAGCGGTATTCAGTTTACAAAGGATCCTCAAGAAGTCCCTATTATTGTTTCTAAAATGATCGGTAATCGACTTGTTACGAAGCAGACTACTTCAGAGGGTGTCCTTGTCAATACGGTATGTGTTATTTTTCCCAATTCACTTGTTAATTTAATTAGGTTATGATCGCTGATGCTGTTGACCTTAAGAAAGAACGCTATTTAGCTATCATGCTTGATCGTACAAGTTGTTGCCCGACTGTTATAACTTCTACTGAAGGTGGTGTGAACATCGAGGAAGTTGCTCGTACAAAGCCTGAAGCTGTCAAGCAGGAAGCGATTGATTTGGACGAAGGAATGTCAGGTAAATCGTAAGCTCAATATCCTTTTATATTTTGTTTTCTTTTTCTTAGACGAAAAAGCTGGAAAAATTGCCACCTCTCTCGGATTTTCTCCAGGTTCGTCGCAACACACATTTATGTGTTCGCAGTTGAAGAATCTCTATAATTTGTTTGTGGATCTTGATTGCCTTCAGGTATACACTCGCAGTCGGTAAACCTTTTTACTTTCGTTTATTTTTTACATTCCTTAGCCAACTATCTTGCATTTTTTTTGGCTTTACCTTTCGGTTTTATTGCTTTATTGTTCCTCTTTCTTGCGTATTGTAGTCTTCCATGTTAATTGAAAGTAAGCCATATCGTGTTTAGGTATTTTTCTTAAAAAGTATTTTTGGAACTTGATAGTATGTTATCTCAATTTAATTGCACTAATCCATATAGTGCATTTCAATATAGCCTATCTTATGTTGGTTTGTCTTATTTAGCCATATTATGTACCCTACTAGTTCCTTTTGCCTGCTGACAAACACACGTTTTTACTGTTTCGAATCTTGAATATGTTTCGCTAATCATTTCATGAAGCACGATCAATGATTCTTTATTTGCTTTAACCATCCTCTTCAAATGCACTAATTTCAACTAAAAGTAAGCCTTATGGAGGCTTTATATTGCTTCGTTATTCTCTACTTTTACCTATGTCCAATTTAATTGCACATGTTTTAGGTTTTTAAAGATCCACTCTTTCAAATTTCGCTATTCATATTTTCACTTTTCACCGTTTTTTCATTGTTTTATTTTAGTCGCAAAAGTTGCGTATTTATTTTTTATCGAAGTAGATATTGGTCCTCTAAATATACCTTAATCATCCAACTTTGGAGATATGTGTTTGATTTGCACTATCTTCTTAAACACGGTGTGAAAACGTTTCTTGTCCCTTCCAGGTTGAGATTAACCCCCTTGGCGAGCTTGAGGATGGCACTCTAGTCAATATGGATGCCAAATTTTCCTTTGACAATAACGCAGTATATCGTCAACCCCGGGTAGCCGCTTTGGCTGCCCATTCGCGCAAACTTGAAATTGAGGCTGCAGGTGAACATTCTTTGTTGGCACTTGAGACTGCTGCTGAAGCTCAAGGCTTGAACTACATCGGCCTGCCTGATGGTAACATTGGTTGTATGGTCAACGGTGCTGGTCTGGCTATGGCTACACTGGATCTCCTTTCTCTTCACAAGGGACGTGCTGCCAACTTCCTCGATCTCGGTGGAAGAGCCTCTCAGTCGGATGTTGAATATGCTCTACATACGCTCTCATGTAGGTGGCTCTATCTTGCCTTTTTAATTTACATTTTGTCCACTTGTTCGGAGAGGAAAGTAAGGTGATGTTGCCTTTTTTCTTAAGATGTAGATTGTTGCTTTCCTCATATCTGACATGCTTCTGACAAGTTAATTCCGATCAGACTGAGTTTCGTGCTATTGATGGTTGCTTTCTCTTTGCTGGATTTTCGTATTTGCAACAATTTCTTCAATTCGGGTAATTCTATCTAAGACTGGGTTATGCGCCATTGCATCAAATAGAGTCCTACTCGTGCTTTGCACTGTAAAAGAGTAGGTTTGAAATTTTAAAGCTCATATTTTGTCGCTTCTTACTTACAGTCGACACAATCGCCATTAGAGGATGCCGATTATTGAGTTTTAAGAACTTGAATTCCTGGTTACGGCGACTCTATCAAAAATGGGGTGGCCTGACATTATTCAATTTTAGAATGGATTTGACAAGTCACACCCCACTACTTCATTTAAAGAGGGTGAATTTTTTATGAATGGGGACAGGAGATTCCATATTAATTTGATCGAAACCTAGAAATTGAGAAGATTTTCTTCTAAATATTGGGGTAACAGTTTAGCATTTTTGTAGTTTATATGATCTTGAAACTTCTATTTCCAGCATATAGGAGTTAGTCGTAAAGCACAATCATTAAACGCCCTGTTTGTGAAAAGATTTCACTACGGTCATTGGTTACATAAAAGACATTTTTATTCATTTAGCTTACTTTAATGTTGATATTTTTTAGTATTGTCATAGAACCCTTTGTAAACACTCTTCATTGAATTTGTTTCTCATTCTCTTTAGTGGATGACCGCGTGAAGTGTATTCTTATCAACATCTACGGTGGAATTGTCAACTGTCGTATGGTAGCGGAGGGCATCGTAGCTGCTTGGAAAAAGTACAAACCCCAATTGCCTCTTGTGGTGCGCCTGGAAGGTACAAACGCTGTGGAAGGACGAGAAGTTCTTTCCAAATCAGACCTCAAAATCCACGTTGCTAAAGACATGGAGGAGGCTGCCAGTATGGCCTGTTCCCTCATTCACTAACGAGTGCTCTTTGGTACCCAGTCAGCCGGAAGTAGATTTCGTAATTTGTATAAAGGCAATACTGTGGCATCTACTCTGTAATAATCAGCGTTCTCGATTGTTATTAGCGTTTTACAAAGACCAAATATACATTTGTTCTCTTTTAGGGAGTTCAAATAGACCTAAAGCATTAATAAAAGGATAGAAAGAGATTGGTTCTTGTTGTGATCCAGGGTCTCTTTCGAAGTCCTTAAAGACTCTCATCTGCTTATTTGTCACACTGACATTGGGAGCGATGCTCATCGATCCCAATTCCATCCTACCGGTTGCTTTGCTCAGCTAGGGGTGGGTGGAATCTAAGCCTGCCGTCGCAGTGTCTTCATTGAATCTTTTTGCTCAAGTCAAGTGCTGTGAACACTTCCTGTGGGCTTAAATGGCTCCTTTCATTTATGTAAACCATTTGATTATATTTTAGAATAATTACTTCTAAAATGAACGTATTTTCCGGGTTTTGGTAATTGTAGCCGTAATAATAAATCATCAAATAACAGGTAATTGAAACTAGTAAATGTCTGCGATAGATGGAATAAGATAAAAAGGAGAAAAATAGGTCCACAGTACCCATTCATATCTAAGACAACTTAGACTTTCCACTGAGTTTATCTCCCGTTCTAGTTAATATCTTTTGTCCTCAAATGCTGGCAAGGTCTTCTGTATTGATGTGTGAAGTTGTTCACTTCCAGCGTCAGTGTACTTCGCGGAATGCATTGTCAAGATGCGCTTTGGTGTAGAAAAGACGGGAGATTCCATGCAAATTTCCTTTCATATGATTGTTTCATCTCGACGCAATATGACCTGGCATAAATCTGCCGAAATAATTGCCTCATAATGAGCTTGAAGATATTGTCAGCACAGCCTCTTGACAACCTATGCTAAAGAAATTAATCGACTTAATGCTATACCTTTAAACACATCGAAATTGGAAATATGCTGTGGTATACACACCCAAAAATTATGCCAATGAAAATCGTATAGACAGTATTTCAATGCAAAATTTGACTCGCCTATAGGACATAAATGGCATCAATAAGAAGTCCTCTCAAGTACCTACATTTCCATGTGCAAATGATCTCACTAGCCTAAGTTCAAAGTGTTGCCGTCTGGCCTGAAACCTGCTTCCAGATAAATACCGATAGCATAGAAGTAAAGTTTGATGTGGTGTTATATTGTGAATGTACTTCATACTAATGAAAAATAAAAGATGCCAAGAAGCAGATACAATGTGTTAACTAGCAGGTATACCCATCAAATTATTAAGAAAATTGATAAGGTTTGAGGCATTGCCTCTATGGAATGGAACGAGGCCTACAGATTGAGGGGATGTGGAGGGACCGAGAAGGGCTTTGTGATCGCAATCGCGCCAGAATCTCGTTCTCTAGAAAAAAATCAACGAAGAGTAAATATAATAGTATGCAGACTTACGAGACAATCCATAAATGGATACTGTTCACCGGTAGAGATAAACGCATACAAGTCTTTAACTCTTGAAAGAAATGCATGCTTTTCTTCATACAACGTGGAAGCGAGTTCTACCTGATGGTTATTCATTAGATTTTCATTAATGACGACAATTAATTTGCGTTTGCCGGGAGGTTGAAGCGCTTCCATACAAGTACCAGCACCACCATGACTAATAACAAGTGAAGACTCAGAAAAGATAGAAGAAAGATTAGCTTTATAGCGAAAAGCGTCAATTTCTAAGGGACTGTCTGAAACCGAGGGTACAATGTTTCCATTCCCATACTGTATAAAAAGTTTCTTGTATCCAAGATTAAATAAGGCAGCGTGAAATTTTTTAGTATCTACGACTTCGATTAATTCCTCGAAGAGCGTAGTGCCAACAGTAACAAAGACAGCCATTTGCCTAATCGGAAGCGTAGCGATGACCCCGAAGTCTGGTGCGCTTGTCAAGCTAAAGAAATAATTAAATAAAAATAATATTACGATCTCTGCTCGGCAACGATCAAAATTGTGTCTTACAATGGAACACTCCCTGGGGAACTTTTCTAAATCTAGGCACTCACGAGGCGTATGCTTCAACTAGACGATCAATAGAAAAATATGGTGTACCTTTTGACAGCAATCACTTCTTAATAAACAAAGCAGCAAATCAATTTTCTGATCTTCACAAATTCCTTTATAATTATGATCGAACATTTACAAGTAGGCACCCGTGGAGGATTCAACCATAATACTGAAGGTCGAGGAATAATCAACTTCGTGGTACATCACACTAAATTCAGATATTGTAAATAAAGCGTTTATAATATTATTTTTAACTTCTAAGATGATTTTTTACTAAATCAGAACAATTTAAGATTTTTCAGACAATCATCTTGATCGGAATTTCATTCTATGTTTATTAATGGGAAAATCGTGCTTTGTCATCTCGATTAATATTTTGAATTGAGCAATGTGGTTTTCCATGTGTTCTCTAAATATTCACTGATTAGCGTTTTAACTGTGGTCTCTGTTTTAGTGATGCGCCCTAGATGCCAGATATATGTCCTTTATATTAATTACTCCTGTCATTTTCATCAACGTGGTACCATTCAGTAAACAATCTATTATTTGATTTTGAGTTAAAGTACTTGGAAGTTGGTATAAAGTACAGGTTTATTAGCTTCAAAATGTACTGATGCTAAACGTGGCGACCGATCAATCCGATTATTATTATGGTCCGAGTTTCAATGCAAACTGTGATAAACTGCCAACTATTAAATCAACAACCAGTAATGTAGCCCAATGATAAATTCTATGTATAAATGTTACTACATATCGTCTTTGTCATATATACTGATGGATAATACTAGGTCTCATTTAAATTATGCTGCAATCTTACGTCTAGCACAATAACTCCACCCGAGATTGTATAAAATTTGTCAATACGAAATACCCATTCCGCTTGATTCGTTTTATTATGATGACATAAATTTTTCGCATTTGAAACGACATCAGTCTCGATCTCTTAAAGTTCGTATTCAAAATGTATTATTATTATTTTTTTAATGGCAGGCGTTCTGAATAGTTATCAATTGCCGTTTTGCTGACTTTGGGCTTCACAGAGAGGAAGGAACATCAAAGTGAAAAAAGTCGAAAGGGGAGGGGGGGGGGTAACAGAAGAGTGTTTCAAAGATGTAAAAGAGAGACACAAAGGTAGAGAAAAAGGTGAGGTGAGTCCTGTGAAAGTAGTCGAATATGACATACAGTGGGGTGATGGTAGTTTGAAGTCAGAAGTCAACTGCATGGTTATAGACTTATTTTGCCGTATGAGCATACGTCAGATATTGAGGATCCTTAAAAAATGAATCCAGATATTCTACTAACTGAATAAGATTAATTGCTTCATATGTATGATAATAAAACCAATTATCCTTCTGACAAACACCGATATAAGGAAGATTTACAAGTTATTTGACTTTTGTAGTGCAGGCACCAATTCCATGTTTTCTCATTATTCAAGAAATTATCAATATGTTTGATTTCAATTTTTGAAACGTTTAACTATTTTGATAATCATATTTAACCGCAATATTGACTAAGAAATATTCTTAATGTCTCCCATTACTTTTCAACATTCTAATGCTCACTTCATGGGGTTCGTGATAGACTTACCTCCACTTGGTGCATCCTGGACAACGTATACTCATACGACAAAAAAGTCTATTATTCGGCAGTTGACTTCAAACTACCATAACCCCACTGTATGACATATTCGATCGCTTCCACGGTACTACATCACATTTTTTTTCTAAATTATCAACCTTCGTCTTTGAAACACTCTTCAGTTCCCCTCCTCTCAACTTTTTTTCACTTTGATGTTCCTTCCCCTCTGTGAAGCATGAAGTCAAATAAATGGCTAATGATAACCATCAAAACGCCTGCCGTTTGATATAAATAAATTCTCAGTCCATGATTCTTATCTAAACAAATAATTGATCGGTCAGTCATAAAGTATGCACGTATGGTTTCTGGTATTGCAAAGTACAAAGCAAAAGAAATGGCTTAATATCCTTTATATTTTTTGAGAATCCCTATTAACTACTGCATTAACCCAGGTGTATCAAAGTACAATATCGTATGACTTGACCTTGTTAGCCACTAATTGGTAAATTAACATTGCAGATCATTTTAATTTTGCTAATTAAGCCAATTCAACTTATTATAAAAGTCCACTCTCCGATTGACGCGATAACGATTAATTGTATCCTTGTATGGGCTACACAATTCATGTCTTTTAATATAGGCCGATATTTAAGCTTTACAGAATGACTAGAAATTTCAATAAAAGACAAGTGAAACTAATTTTATCAAGATTTTTCGTTTAATTTCACATATCAATTAATTCTTTATCCACACTTCGAGATAAAACATGTATGGGCGAAAACATAATCACACAAGCGTATATTTTTAAAAGTAAAAGTAGATATTCAAATATTAAAATGCTTTCTCACCACTCCTAAGTTACTTCCATAACTATGGAAACATAAGGTGATCGGAAATTTAGAAAAGTTGACCACACATAACAGATTGTTCATTATAAAGGACCAAAATTCAAATAAAAAAATTCTATTTCAGACTTAATTTAGAATAAAATTACAATGGTAATTACTAAAAATAAATTTATATAGATAACTAGTAGAAATTTTGCATTGTTTTAAACGCTTTAATTGCAAGCGAGCCTTCTAAAACACATTTTAGTACGTCACTTCGGTTGTATATTGTTTGTTGATTTTTTAGCATTATTGAAATAATGTTTCTTAACATAGGCTTTTTGTTACCTATATAAAATTTCCACTTCTTTTCTACCTTTTTTACTTGTTCAGTTTGCTTTATATTATGAAATTCCTTCCTGAAATACCATTAGTATTATGTAAATCTGACCCCCCCCCTCCTTTACTAATCAGGCAATAGATGTAAATGGCGAATTTTCTTTTTTCTTGAATCAATATATGTTATTTGAGTGCTACCATGTATTGTTAAATGAATTTTATTTTATTTGTCTTTTTCTAGGTAGAATTATGTCTGGTTTGCCTGCATATCATGAGAATAACTTTCCGGCTCAAAAGGCTATGAATAACTACAGTAACGTACGTTTTTTTCGATGGTACATTTTTCCTCTGTTAATGTAAATTAATTATTTTTTTCACCTTAGAATTCGTATCAAGGAAGCTCTGTAACCTCTAGATGCGATCAAAATGCTTCATCGCTTAATGCTATGCCACAAGATTTCGGTATTGACGCACAACAAAACCCCGGTAACTAAATTTTCGTCATCTAATTTGTCTTGTTCTCTCGTCCAAACTAATTAAAATTATATGCTCTAGCTTCTACCAATTATTCCATTAATGGCTCCTCACAAGCCCCTAATGTCTATAATTCATTCTCAACATCACAAGCACCGTACCAACATCAATACCCTTCTCAACCTCTACAACAACAGCCTCTGAATTCAGATGTCGAATCCTTTCAGACTGGTTTCCAAACTGAGCAAAGTCCCTCCAATACACCTCACTCAAATCAGTCTTATTTAAATAACTACTCTCAACAACAGCAACAATGGAAAAGTGTCAATAGTGAACAACAGCATCAGACACCACAGGCTTATTCTACCTCTCAGTATCAAGTTGCTCCTCCACCTCCCGTTAACAACTACTCTTCTCACCATTACCAACAGCAATCTCATAATCACGTGTCAGAAAGTGCTAACAATCAACAACAACAGGGGGCTTATTCTCAAGATCCTCCTTCCTCAAATCCGTCTCAATCGGCTACTAATTACTCATCTTATAAGCATCTACCCACCAACCATCCTCTTCAGAACCAGCAACAGTATTATGGTGATAAATCTGCTGCAATGCCTCAGCTCTATCCTCCACCACTAAATCAGCCTACTTATTCGTCTCAACAGTGCTCTTATCAGCAGAATTCATATCCTAGTCAATCACCTTCATTGGCCAGGCATCATCAAATGACACAAAGAGTGCGCTCCACAAATGTTTTCAATTCGATACAAGACCCGTATCAGCAGCGTTATGCCAGCAATTCTAATCATCAAGATTCATTTGAACGGGTGCCTGGAACATCAATATCTTCTGAGGAGTGGAATTTATTTAAAGGTCCTATCAGTCTTGTCAATGATAGTAACTTTCTGCCAAATGATGGGCCTGAAAAGCCACCTAAGCCCATTTTGACCACACAAGTGAGTTATTTGCACTTTCAAGACACATGAGTAGGTGCCTATGTTTTTAAACGAATCCTCTTAATTTTCATCACATCTTTATAGGTCAACTGTCATTCTGATTATTTGCGGAGTACATTAACTGCCGTGCCAATCAACAGTAAATTGCAGTCCAAATGTCGTCTACCGTTTGGATTGCTTGCTCATCCCTTTCGAGATGTTAAAGATCTGCCGGTCATTCAGACCACAACGATTGTTCGTTGTCGATCGTGTCGGCTCTACATAAACCCGTTTGTTAAGTTTATTGACAATGGTCGTCGTTGGCGTTGTCCAGTGTGTATGCTCTCCAATTCAGTTCCAGATGACTTTTTTTATGACCCCACTACGAAGACTTACGGTGATCCAGCACGAAGACCTGAGATTAGAAACGCCACTCTTGAGTTTATAGCTCCTTCGGATTATATGGTCCGGCCACCACAGGCCGCCACATATCTCTTCTGCTTGGAGGTCTCTCGAATTGCTGTCACTTCGGGTTATCTCGAATTAGTATGCAATATGATAGCTGATAACCTTGAAAAAATACCCGGTGATTCTAGGCGTCAGATTGCCATTCTGACCTATGACTCTGGTGTGCAGTTCTACGTCTTTAAAGGTGAGTTAAAATCATTTTCCCCTTCGTGTCTTTGTCAAGAATGTCTATTGGGTGGCTATTTGCTTCCTTTTAGGTAAGAAAATGAAAATGGTGATATGCCAGGATCTTTCGGAAGTGTTCCTTCCTGATTTGGACGGAATGGTGAATCGTATCAGTGATTGTGCTGAATCTATCATCGAACTTCTTCGACAGATCCCAGAGCAATTTGCAAATACTCAGGATACCTCCAACTGTCTAGGTTTCGCTCTACAGGTTGGTACATTTCGTTCTTTTTCATCTTTTCGTTTGGTGGCATCATTTTGGATTTACCTGTTTTTTTGTGCTGTTATACGTGCTTTGTGGAGCCCTGTAAGCATTATATTGCCTTCCTTTATCTACTTTTCTATTTCCTACACAAGGTAGTGTATACTTTTACCTCTTACTTAATTGATTCATGAGAGAATTATCAACAATGATCCTTTGTGTCATCTATGAGATAAGAAGTTGTCTTTCCCTTTTGGTGGGCCGCGATGTCTAAATATGCAGTGCTGCAGGAACTTTGTACATGTGGTTTAGTTAGTTTGATTTATTTATTTGCAAGTGGAGCTGCACAAGTACCGGTTGATTTATGTAAACTTCGATTTGGCCAGAACAAACAAAATCACTTAACCTACACTCCTGTTTAAGAAGTTGAGTTTTATTTCGATCTCATGATATTACATTTGACAAATCCGTGTCATTTACATTGTTTATACGTTTTTCTGCATTAAGAAAGCTTTACTTTTCTTGATTTCTAGTTGACCAGTCAGAACGAAAATTAGTTTAAATAAATGGTGTATCGGTTTGCAAACAGTTTTCTTCATTTAACTTGTCATCATCTATATCCTTTTCTTTTCTGTGTTTGGAAATCATGTATGTAATTATACAACTAGGATGGCCTTAACCTGCCATTAATTTGTTTGATTACTCTTGGTTTTTCACATCTTACTGATTATTTTTAAAATAGGTAACTGTTTTGCATATATATTTCTGCTCCCTTTTTTGCTAGTACTATTGGCGTTCATTTTAACCTTAAATGTTTCTGAAACAGTATTTCATACTTTATTATCCGTTATTGATCATTCGAACAATAAATACTCGAGCAATATGTAATTAATCTATTTATTAAGTTATGTGTTTGAAGGAGGTCCAAGCAGTGACTTCATACAAACCATTTTTTATGAATGTGCGTCGACAGTTTTAGAAATCCTTTTTTCTGTTGGCCTAATATCAGTACAGAATCCATTTCTGGGTCTATATTCTAACTCATGTCAATCTAGTTTGCAATATCATTACTTAGTTGGCCTCATGTGAATTATGCGAATTTATTGCAGCCGGTGTTTATTCAGTCTGCCAGTCATTTAGACATGCCCTTTTAAAGCTTCTCTAACAGTGGCCAATTATTAAGCATCGAGGATTTGTCGCTTCCTGTCTAAGTACTAAGACGTGATATATTGTGGCGTCTGGATAGTACGTAAAGTGACAGAATTGGAGTTTCATTAGTAAAGTTCTATGTTTATATTCTCTCTCTCTTCAGGAAGATAGTTGTAGATGCTTTTATAAAAGAACTTGCAATTTATTGGTATTAACAACAAGTGCTTTATCAAATTTGCAATAAACGAGCCAGCTCTTAAAGCTACTACATATTAACTTGTAAAATACGTGATGAGTTTTCTGTTTTAAAGTCTACAGCGTTGGCACACCGTAAGTCCGATAAAACCATTTATTCTCTTTCCAGACTGCGCTGAAGTTGATTGGTAACACAGGCGGTCGCTTGTCAGTCTTCAACGTCAGTATTCCAAACGTGGGTCCGGGTAAAATGGAAAACCGTGGGACGCACGATGACCTTACTAAACCCAATCCGGAGCATCTTCGTCCTTCCTCCGACTTTTATCGGACCATCGCTCTCGAATTCTCCCAAGTCTATGTAGGCCGAGATAGTCCCACTATGTTTATGGAAGTAAATTTCTGGTATGTAATGCCTTTTTAATTTTTTAGATTGCTGTGGATATGTTTATGTTGAATTCGAACTACTGTGACATTGCAACCATTTCGGGAGTGTCTCGATATTCTGGTGGTTCCGTTTACCATTACCCTAACTTTCACTACGATCCCGAAGTTCATGGTCCACTATCAGTATCTTCGGATTCTGGTGATTCAGGAGGTGTTCAGACTGATCACCAAAACAAACAGAAAAAGGTTGCCTCTCATGAATTGTGTGATTACATTGAAGTGGAGAGTTTACGCAAAGATTTTCAACGCTATTTGACAAGAAAAATTGGTTTCGAGGCTGTTCTTCGAGTGCGTTGCTCTAGAGGCATCAATATTCAGGTATTCTCTTGAGGCTTTATTTGCATGGGCATTTTGTAACATTTAATTACCTAACACTTATTGCATTTTATTGTTTTCTGCACCTGTGAACTCATGAAATCAGCCACGCAATGCAGCAATTAATGTGGCTTGGTAAATAACAAAACAGCTCCTATTGGTGATGTTTTTGCCAAAGAAATCTTCCTCTCGAGAGTTTCGGTCTTAAACTTGAGACCTTTGTTTAATAGTTTTTTTTCCTGACCTATTTTAACACTAATATAAACATATAAGACCTCTAAATTAGAATAGCAGTTAATTCACTGAGCACCCTTTAGGTTAGGAATTCGCGTTTCCCTTGTTTGAGGCTTTACCTTTTATTAACAAGAAAATTTACACTAATTATTATTGTAATCGAAAGAACTAATCTGTAATTGCATTGAGTTGATGAGCATTTATTGGAATTATGGTGGATATCGCATTTTCCGTTGGTTCATTTTATTCACATTAGTACATCTAATAATGATAAGGTTGTAGTTGTGCCACAAATTGGACAGAAGAGTGCATAAGTTTAAATTTCAGCTAAGTACACTGAAGAGAGACCTCTACGATATCTTTTCATTTTGAAAGTCTTGTACTTGTAAATTGTAGCCTTCGTATCTAACGCTTCGGTTTACTTTTCACATTTTGCTTCATTCCGTTGCGTAACTTTGAATTCTGAATAAATATACATGAATATGCTTTCATAATATCACAGAAATTCACATTCATCATTAAGCTAAGCTAATTGACAAATTAATTAAAATTTCCCTTAATTTCTAGAATTTCTACGGCAATTTCTTCATGCGTTCAGTTGATCTTCTGAACTTGCCCGTTGTGAGTCCAGACGCAGGTTATGCCCTACAGTTAGAAGTGAACGATAGGTTAGACAGTTTCCCTCAAGTTGTTTTTCAGGTATGTTACTTCGATCGGCCGTAGCCCCATCACATGGGGCCGATATACAATTACTTTCTTATGCTCCTTTTTTCTCTACAGTCAGCTCTTCTGTATACATCAGCTTATGGTGATCGTCGAATTCGAGTTCACACCCTGTGCTTGCCGGTAACGGATTCTCCTGAGGCTGTTTTCAACTATGCTGATGAGGGAGCAATCGCCTGCTTAGTGACGAAAATGGCTGTTGAACGCACTATTTCTGCAGGCCTGGGTAATGCAAGGGAAGCCCTAACTACCGTGATGAATGATATTCTCACTGCTTATGAAAATGAACGTAATTCAGGATCTTCTCGTTCCTCAACCCTTTCGGGCATTTGTCCGGCTTCACTTCGTCTTCTTCCAGCCTATCTATGCGGTGCTCTGCGTTTCCCGGCTTTCAGGAATCATCTTCCAACCTCTCTTGATATTCGTTCTGGTGCACTCGAACAAATTACCTGTGCATCAGCTTCGCAAATCTTGGCACTCCTATATCCTCGTCTCTACTCTGTAAACTCCTTCATTTCTGAATCTCATATCGGAAAGGATGCTACTTTGTTACAGAAAGCTGCTGCCCTCTCCCTAAATGACTCAGCCCCTCCCTCTACCCTTCCGTCGTTACCTTGCCTTCCCTTGACAGGAAAGTCAATAACTCGGGATGGGGTGTACCTCCTTGACACGGGTAATTTAATCCTCCTTCTTGTTGGCTATGGTATTCCTTCAGCGGATTTGAAGTCCCTCATCGGCTACTCAAGTATAGATGAGCTAACCGTAGAGAAGGCAGTTACGAAACTGGGAGATTTATCAGAGGATGAAAAGGCATCCTTACCGAGAAGACGTCTACAAACCTTGATAAACTCAATCCAGCGTGAAAGATACCTGGGAACGGCGCTGGCTTTGATCCGTCACGATGTGCCAGAACCCCTTAAAGGCCGATTTATTAATGCCCTAGTTGAAGACAAGTCTCCCACGTGTCCATCCTACTCCGAATATGTTCAGATGATCCTTAATGGAAACTCTTAGAGCACTTACCCAACTTTTTCCCTTTCGCCTCCCTCTTTCAATCCAAAACATCTCATTTTTTTCTCTAAAACTCTCTTAGTATCACCCTTCCCCTTCTTTTGACTATCTTATTTCCTGCTTGCTACTATACTATACCTGTTTCTACAAATGAATGGTTGTATGTAGAAAAAATGCGTGTGTAGTGAATGATCATATTTTCCTTTTCTCTCATCCTCTTTAATCTTCTCTTTTCCATTATGTAAAATTATTGCACTCATGTAGCGCTTACACTACTCAATATTCCTTGTGTGTTTGCGAGTGAGCAGTCAAAGAGTTTACGAAAAACAGATGTCTTTCCTGAACACTGGTACCTTTTACTAGTGCTAATATCAGAGTTGGTGATACGGTGAAAGGAAAGAGCTGTTGTTTAGTAGGTGCCAATGTAAGACTTCAAACCTCACTGCCACCTGATGGTAAGCAGGCATTGGATGGCTATATCCTCCCCCCCCCCCGCGCATGATACCTCAGTGTGTCGAATTTTGGAAGTCGGAGGAGTAGATACGATTAAGGGGTTGTATTTTAAAGGTGTGCTTTACGTCGTTTCTGTATGCAGTTAATTAAAACGGTGGAAATCAACGCAAGTATGATGTGTAATACTTTAAACTTGATACAGCAGCATATTCGAAGAATATTTTAATACTTTCAAGCAAAAATACTCTGATGCACCCTCTAAGATCATCGCATTACTTTATCATGCAAATATCTAAAGCTGAACAAAGGAATGGCGCTTTTCTTCATGGGCAGGGAAAATGTTGTTTGAGAAATTACTCAACATTTCAAATGGTACTATGCATGATTATCGGCCAGCAGGAGTTTCTGTTTGAATTTCCGACGCACTTATCTACTTATTTTGTCCGTTAATAAGATAGCCAGACAAATGTGGTGATTTCTAAATTAAAAGTAAGTATGAATGATGGTAAAATACAAAAGAATTTATGCTTCTCAAAATATCGGTTTATGTTCCCATGGCTGGCTGAAGACTGATAAGGCAGTGAAGTAACTTTCAAATGAGGGACCACTTTCAAGTCGAAATTTGGGAGGACAATTGCACTGCCTATTGATTTTATGAACTAGGGTTCCAATTCACTAATGTCACTATTGAATGCAAATAGATTCCGATTCGTTTGGCGTTGGAGCGAATTCTGCCCTGTTTAAATCTTGGGTGGTGGCAGTGCTCGTATTTTCAGAGATGGAAATTTTAAGCCAATATGAACAGAACTTCGCAAGCGAGATTATTTTCACTTAACTGCTTACTATTTTAATTATACTCTTTTTTCAACCCCTCTATACTTTGCTGTAGAAATTTTGCGCCCAGATTTCGTTTGGCCTCTTCCTCACAGCCTTGGCATAATTATGCGCATCTGATTTTTTTGGAAGCTTGTAATATTTCCACTCCTTACAATCGGGTTCTGAACATTATAGTATGCGATAATTAGTTGAATTTACATATTTTTTTGCAAATCATGGGATATTTATTGAATGTTAACAATAATTACCCTGTATGATGTGGGCAGAAAGGTGCATTGAAGATAGTCTACGTAGCTCAATTAGAATAGCATTTGAGCACGGAAATAGTGTCAAAACCAACGCAAACTAAGCCCCTGAAAGTACGATCACTAGAATACGAGTATCCCATCCCGTTTGGCCTCTCGATGACATTCACTGGTCCCACTACACTGGTTGGTTCTTCTTCTTCCAGACAGGGCTATGGCAGAACGCAATTGGATTATTGTTACTACAGCTAATCTGATGGAATTATAATCATATAAGGAGTGTGCACTAGACTTACCTCCACGTGGTGCACCCTGGGCAACGTATACTCATACGGCGAAAAAGTCTATTAATCGGCAGTTGACTTCTGTCTTCAAACTACCAAGACCCCACTGCATTTCATATTCGACTACTTTCACAGTCCTCACCTCAACTTTTTCTGGTTCGCCATTGAGGCTAATTCAAGCCACTTGGGATGAAAAAGAGAACTAAGTAGCTTCAACTCAAAATGAGGGCGACTGGACAGCTAAGACGATGATTCCGATCTTAACTTACGTTATTTCATCCTTCCATTGATGGTCTTATTTCTCTCATGCGCCACTATCATATTTCAAGTCTCATTCACATATGTGATTTTCTAACGCGACTGCGGTTAATTTGCGATCCTATTGGTCACTCAATTACTGCGCCCCACTATTCATACCGAGGAACGTGCCAATCCTTGAAGAAAGAACACGTGAAACCATGTGTACATTCATACAGTGACTCTAAAATTCATCCATTCTTGTGTCTTGTTATAGGACTCACTACCTTTTGTGACAATTCAAAACGCTCTTCATTCATACCGATTCGTGACACTGTGCCAATTCGTGTACAAAGTGATTATGCAATTAGTGGATGCTGTTTCTACATGGTATATCATTTTTTGGGAAACTTCCAAAAAGTGAGCTGATGAAGAACTAGGCATCTGAAAAGGACATGTTCTGATGCAAAATTGTGTTGTTTGTTGTAGTGTTGTCACCTGAATTTTCTCAAATGTTTGCAAGAGAAGTCCTGCAGCCACATCAATGAGGATTTGAACAAGAAAAGCCAAACACATGAATTCATTTGCGTGATAGGATTAATTAATTCACAAACCTGTTTTAGCTTACTGAACCCCCCCCCCCCCCAACGTGTGTAAGAGTTACGCCGAGATCAATAGTAACATGCAATTACTCGAATAGTTAACTTAATTTCAAAATATCACCTTCAGAATACTTTAAAAATTAAACAATACATGTAAGGAATCGGCAATTAATATGAAGGTTTATTTTATCTTGAAAAAATATTCATTTCATTGAACAGAAGTGGCAGAAGGTTATTTTTACCATGGATTTCAAAACAACACAACTTCAGACAAGAAAAATTTTATGTCTTGTGAGTAGTATTTAGAGTTAGGAGTATCGAGACCAACCTTCTACATTTCATAATCAAATGTGAGTTTTCTTATGTTTTTTTAGAAATAAAAGATATTTGGAGAAATGTAAGTTGACGAGAGATTTCGCGTTTATAAAAATTCATAAAAAACTGAACTTCTAAACGAAAAAAATGTAAGTACGGTTTAAAGCAAATCTCAAGGTGACAATCTTTAAGTGTTTTTTTATAAATCATTTCAACGAATTTACTAGAATTCGATTGCTAAATGTCGTTTCGTCAAATGCTCACCCTTGATATGACCTATTAATAAACAGATTCATATTTTACCAACTCACCGATAACACGACTGCAGAGTGGCTAAAAGAAGCTGGTTTTAAAGTTCGCCAGACGCTAGCTTATAGGACATCAATAATTTAGGTATGGATAGCGTAGCAGCCAAATTCAAAAGTGCATGTTTAGAAGGTTAAGCCTGGCATGAGCTGTCGTGCATTACTCAGGGTCATAAGTTCAAAATTAAAGTACAGAGTGGTAAAAGTAATTGAAAGCGAATAGTTAAGTGCATCTTGAATTACATTTTCAAAAGTAAAATCTTTTATCTGTAGCGGACTGCTACGCTAGTAAAGCCTGACTGACTCAGAAATCTCTATGGCAGATTCCCTAAGTAAAGCCTGACTGACTTAGAAATCTCTATGGCAGATTCTCCTGACTCAGAAATCTCTTTGGCAGATTCTCCTACATCTAGACCGACTCAGAAATCTCCATGGCAGATTCTCAAACATCTAGCTACCGGCTCAGAAATTTCTATGGCAGATTCTCCAACATCTAGCTAGGAATCAGAAATCTCTATGGCAGATTCTCCAACCTCTAGCTAGAGAACAGCTAAGCTATAGCTCAGCTATAAAGAAAACAGACGTGTAGCACGGAGCGCGTTTATATCTGTGGCAGATTCTCCTACATCTAGCTAGACTCCCAGAACGGCAGATTCTCCAACGTCTAGCTAGACTCCCAGAACCAGGGAGATTCTCCTACATCTAGCTAGACTCCCAGAACCAGCTAAACCATAGCCCAGCTATAAAGGAAACAGACGAGTAGCACGGAGAATTCTCCTACATCTAGCTAGACTCCCAGAACCAGTTAAGCCATTGCCCAGCTATAAAGGAAATAGATGTGTAGGACGGAGCACGTTTCTTCAGCGAGTATGTTGCGGAAAAAGTGTACATGTATGGAGCTAATCATGATCAGGATGGGGGATTAGGTTAAAC